GTCCCAAAAAATATTTACAAACTAGACAGGTGTACTTGAGACATTTTTTTCTTAAATTTTAAATGGAAGCATGTTTACCATCCACATATTTATGAGGTACACTACAATAATATGTGTGTAGACTGTGAAATGCTAATCAGTGCAGTTAGCATTTTCATCTCCTCACTTATCTGTTCCATGTGTTGGGAACCTTAGGACTATCAGAAATTTGTGTTAGACTTTAGTTAACTCAAATAATTATATGAAGTAGACACTTATACTTTGAGGTTTCTTGCCCCACTGTTCACAGTAGCTAAGATGTGAAATCAACCAAGATCATCAACAGGTAACTGATTAAGGAGCCAGAATTTTTATTGAATTGCTTTACTATTCAAAGGTGCTTCAGAATCCTTTAAGAAGAATATTTGCTGGGTACTTCAGATTTTTACCTTGGCAGGATTCCAACTATTGTCTCCCCATAGTTAATCACTGAGTAGCATGTAGAAACATTTATATGTAAATATAAATATGTGTGTGTGTGTGTGTGTGTATATAGGAATTTTTGTGTTTGAAATGAATTGAATGTCCATAAATTTTTGTAATGCAGGTCTACAAAGCAGCACAGTGAGATCAGTGAATAGACATTAAAATAAAAATATAGTAATTTCCCTGTCACTAAATATTATTCTGTTAATATTTTTAAACATTAAAAATATAAGAAGCAGGTTCCTGTTCATACAAAACTAGGGACAGGTCAGATTTGCCTAAGGGATCTTGATTTGTGGATCCTTATTCACCTGGGCTTTTCTAACCTTTTGCCATTGTGACAAGACATTGTTGCTCACAAAGCTCATGTTTGAGAGCTGTGCAATCCAATCAATAATCACAAAACAGTCTTATAATGTCTAACATAGCTTTTTGATTTTGTGTTGGGGCTCTCTCCAGCTTCATGTGGTCTGTAGACCATGAGTTGGGCAAGCCTTTGAAGAGCCAGAAATCTGCACCAGGGATAAATATCCCTGGGCCCTTGAACTTCCTAAGAACCGAAGGAGCATTGTGTGTGTGTGTGTGTGTGTGTGTGTGTGTGTGTGTGTGTGTGTGTGTGTGTGTGTGTGTGTGTATACACCTGTATACAGCTTTTAGCTGACTCTCAGAAAGTCCCAGATGAAAAAGGTTAGGAGCCCTTTTTTCTGAAGACTTTTCCCTGTTAGGATGCATTTCTTGAGCACATGGTAGTTTCTAGGCTCTGTGCAAGTGCCCCAGAAGTCTTAGAAAATTGTATGATAGGAGAAAACACTGCTAGACACTGAGATCAATAATTGTCCAGTGATCTTGTTTCTTAAAGTCTGCTACCTGCACAATTCTTTATGCTTTGTCGTATTCAGAAGCATGAAAATCTGCATCTGGTTGTGAGAGAAAAGTTCTCATACTTTCAAATATTTAGTAAATGATTTTAGTCAAGCTTTAAGTATCAGAAGCAATTGAAGTGTGTAGACTACTACAGGCTATACAGAGAAATCAGATTCTATATAATAAGAACCTTTTCCTTAGTGCTGGGGGATGTGGTTGAGTGGTAAAGTGTGCTTAGCATGTATGTATAAGGCCATGGGTTCTAGCCCCAGCATACATACACACAAACCCCTATCCTTTTTCTTTGAAATAAGTAATAACTCACAGATGGGTTCATGTTAGTTTAATTGACATGAAGTGCTATGATATACATAGAAGCAGGATTAAGTTGCTTAGCTTATTGCAACCGAATGCACAAGCTTATAGGCCGCTTGACTTAACCTGTGGCTGTTAGTCAAAGCTAAGCTATTGGATGTTCAGATTCATAAAATGGAGTAGTTAGCCTGGGGCAGAGGTGGTAGTGAGAAAATAGAAATGCTTATTTAAAAAGAAATGAGCGGTTCAGGAGTTCCTGCCTCTGCTCCAGGGCTGCAATTGGAAGAACTTGTTCTCAATAAAGTGTAATAGAATGAAATTCATTCTCAAAGAGGAAATGGTCATAAAAGCTACAACACTAATTTTAAAATCTAATGACAACTTGGGATAGTTTGTGGTTTCTTTAAGAAGAACTAAACATCTCCTGTTTTATTTACAGATTTTTTTCATACTGTTAGAAGAAATAACAGACCCTAAGTAAATTAAAATGATTTTAAAAAGAAAGAAGTTAAGCAGAAATTTTTCCCTGGTGTAAAAAAAAATTAGAGATTTAAAGCTATAAAAAGAAAGCCTTGCTTAGGTAAACATTAGGCTTGGCTTTTAATTGAACATTAATTAGATAAGTTATTACTAATTTGTTAGTTTCCTTATTGTTTTTAGTCTGGCAATTCACCCACCCCTTAGCCTTTGTTTCTGTTCAATGCATCATAGTTGTAATTTTTTTCAGTTTTGAAAAAAGCAAAACTAAAAACAATCTAGAATTGGAAGAGTAACTTCAATGAGAAAGTTCTATTGAAGTCTGAGAGAAGCCAGGTGGTGGTGGCACATGCCTTTAATCCCAGCACTCGGGAGGTAGAGGCAGGCGGATCTCTGTGAGTTCGAGGCCAGCCTGGTCTACAGAGCAAAATCAGGACAGCTAGGGCTGTTACTCAAAGTAACCCTGTCTTAAAAACAAAACAAAACAAAAATTCTGAGAGAAAACAAATAGAAACAAACAAGACTGCTGTGTGGTTCATATGTGGGGTTTTGACTTTCAAAGATTCTTGCTGAATTTGACAAGAGTATAAATCATTGAATTAGTAAGATCTGACTTGTCAGGTCTAATTCCCAAAGATGGTGAGAACCTTGACAGGTTCCTGAGAACTGTTTCATCACAAGACTTAGCCTGGCTTGGTCAGCCTAAGGCTATCTGTCCTCAAACCTGAGAGTCCCTCTGCAAACTACCCCATCATCTTTCTTGGCTTCTAGTGTGGTCCTTTCATCTTCAAATGCTTCCTCCCTTCCCCTAATGAGTCCAGTTCCTTTAAGCTGGATTCTTTCTGTTCTTCCTAACAGAGCAGTCAGCTTACTTGATACATTTACATGAGGTGGGATGCTAAAGTGGGAGCACTTCCATTTCAGCCAACTTGGCCTTTGGGGTTTCTTCAGGCAGCTGTGCTAGTGAAAATTTGAAGTAAGCATGGAGGATGAGGTAGAGATTATATATGGCCCCACCAGACTCCACAGATTCCTATCGTCCCTGTTTTAGAGGAAGCCCTTTGACTGTAATTTAGCAGGCATGGGTGTAGCTTGATTTCTCCGGTGAAAGAGAGAAAATGAATGCAAGAAAGATCACATGCACTTAGTAAAATATAGTGAGATACCACCAGTTATTACCTTATTAAATTGCTATTAGAAATATATAAGTAATATATATTATCATTTATAATACTTAAATTTTATTTTTAAAATGTACCTTCAAGGGTATCTACAAGTCATTGAGTAAGTATTCAGTACTTTAGGGAGGACAAGAGAACTATTAATGAAACAATATCCACATTGAAAAAAGATGCACACATGTGGCACGAACTGGAAAAGAGCATAGTAAAATGATAAAATGTGCCATTCCTGATGCTAAAGGCAATACATATACCAATCTCTTTGAATCCAGGAACTGTAAAGAGAGACAAACAGGTAACAACCCTTTGCATTTATAAAGCTTTTCTTTACTAGTTATACTCTGAATCATGACCTTATAATACTGTTATCTCTTCTTCCCTAATAGGGATCCTTGTAGCATTTCTAGAGCCTCCTTTTGAACTACGAGTATCATCTGGCCCCTAAATAAAGACAAGGCTGGGCAAGTTGTGGGAGACCAGCTCCCACTTTTCCCCCAGGGTACTCTTGAGGAGAAAGTGTTAAGAGATTTAGATAGAAATATAGAGGGGAGAGAGACAGACAGAAACACAGGATAGCCTCGGAAAGAGCCTAGATCCTTATCCACCATCGCTTTCTGTCTCTTCTAAAGGGCTTTTTATAGGAATGTCAAAAGGTGGAGCAAAGACCTCCCCATAGCACAACCACGTGCAAACCCTTTCAATCACTTAGTAACCACACACGTGGTCAAGCAATCCTCTAATGCAGCCCTGCTTCGTAAAGCAAGCTCAGATCTCACTAGGAAACCTTTGTGAGCCTCCACAGCAAGTCAGATTCGTTTATGAAATAGGACTAGTAGTAAAATAGTAAAATAAAATGACAATGCTATCCTCATTTTAGGTGGATGGTAGATTGTTAAAGCATTCACTTTTTCTAGATTATCCTTTTCTTTTTCAAGTCTTCTATAAACATCAGTGGGCCAAGAGAACAAAGAAGGGTACAGTTGGGTGATTGGACATGTGGTAGGACAGGCAGCATTCCATCTGGGAAGAGGGAGGAGGAAGTGGAAGGAAATGGGCTTTCAGGAGATCACAGAGTCTACATTTAAAGGCATGGCTATGTGAGGAACCAAGAGAAATTGTGTGTGTGTGTGTGTGTGTGTGTGTGTGTGTGTGTGTGTGTGCTGTCATTCATTGGGGAAATTATGGCTTTGTCAAAAATCAGCTTACCAGTAAAGTCCATGTCTATAGATAGTTGTCATTTTAAAAGCAATTCCTATATGGAAATTAGTAAAAGACAAAAAAAAAATCAAGAAACAGTGGTGATTATATTTAGAATATATACATATTATATATTTATTTCATTTAACAACACTTAATGAAAAGAGGCCATACATTTTAAAGAGAGTAAGGAAAGGGTATATATATATATAAAATGGGAGGATTTAGAAGGAAGAAAGGGAAGGGAGAAGTGATATAATGATATAATATGAATATATAAAGATTAATATATATAATTTATAAATTTTTAAGATATAAAATAAAAATACATAATTATTTGATAAATATAATAAAATAATATGATTATAATCTCAAAAACAAAAGAAAAACAGAAATAGTGGCTTAGGAAATGCTGTAATTCCTTCAAGAATGCCTGGTGTAATAAAAAGTAAGAAGGATATGTTTAGCTCTAATACCTCTTTTTTTCTCTTTTGAACACAGGCATCTTTTCCTATGAATCCATCGCTTGCAGCTAATCCTACTATGGCTTTCAATCCTTACATGCCTCATGCTGGGATGGGCCTGGTTCCTGCTGAACTTTTTCCAAATACTCCAGTTCTGATTTCTGGAAACCCACATCTTGCATTGCCAGGAGTTCCTGCCCCAAAACCAATTCGTACAGATAGACTGGAGGTATTTGTGACTATGAAATGCTTGTAGAATGGATATTAACTTTACGCATAATGTACCTTTTCAGAGCCTAGTTTGTTGAATGTTTAAAATCAGAATATCCTAGTACCTTTTAGCATAAGGAGCCTGAGAAAGAATGTTAAGCCAGGCGGTGGTGGTGCACGCCTTTAATCCCAGCACTCAGGAGGCAGAGCCAGGTGGATCTCTGTGAGTTCGAAGCCAGCCTGGTCTCCAGAGCGAGATCCAGGACAGGCACCAAAACTACACAGAGAAACCCTGTCTTGAAAAAAAAATAATAGTGTTAAACATTTTTTTAACTTCAGTTAGACCTTGTTCTGAAGTGAATGAATTTTGTTGTGTAGTAGGTCAAACAATGTTTCAAGTATACCCAAACATGAACTGCTGTATAGGAAGTCTAAGTGAGAATTTTCTTTGTACCCATGCTGGAGCTTTATAAAATATAATAACTAGATTTGCTCATGAGTTCTACTTTCCAAAATGATAAACTGAAAAACGAACCTAACATTCTACAATTATAGAATGTAAAGCTATATGAGTATAGGTTGTAAATTAATTTCATCACACCTAAAGATTTTCTTCATGTTAAGAATGATGGACTTCACAATAAATATTACATGAAACCTAAAGGGTTTAAAGGAGATTTCAAACATCTTTTGATTTATTGACACCCTTTAGTTTTCCTTTAATTGCTAGTCTTTGTTCACTAGAATAAATAACTGGTTGATTTCTTAGAATGTCAGCTCCACTGGCAACCAGTTGAATGCCTGCTCATGTATTATAATGGAACCTAAATATAGGTTTGACTCAATGTGGTTTACAAATTGTCCATGTAAAACCACTAGTGCATTGCTGTATGATAAAGAACCACCCTAGGCTTTAAAGAAATCGTTACGCTTGAGGGTAAATGTTAACTTCAGGATTCAAACACATTTTCAGTAATACTTTCAAGTCCTATTATGTCAGTGTAAGGCAAATAGACACTCTTATCTTTGTGGAAAATGTGATCTTTCCCCCTTTTATGAAATTGTGTTTTTATCTTAGGGTGAATATTGCTTTGTATTACACTTCATCTTTTATAGCTGTTTCCCACACAAATGACAAAATTCATATGTGACTCTCGTATCTTCTTGGAAGGTAAATAAAAGCCAGTCACCTTTCAATCATCACTGGAAATGTATGGGGTTTTTTGTTTCTTTCCTTTTTAAGGTTTGCCGTGAATTTCAGCGTGGAAATTGTACCCGTGGGGAGAGTGATTGTCGATATGCTCACCCTACGGATGTCTCTATGATTGAGGTGTCTGATAATACTGTGACAATCTGCATGGATTACATTAAAGGCCGATGCTCCCGGGAGAAATGCAAGTATTTTCATCCTCCTCCACACTTGCAAGCCAAACTCAAGGCAGCTCATCACCAGATGAACCATTCGGCGGCGGCTGCGATGGTAAGAACAGGTTGGGACCGTGGGCTTCATGTAATATGTCTAATATTTTGCATACATAAAAGACTGGCTACTCATGGGTGCATCTTAATATGAATAGCCAAAGTTATATGCTAGAAAAGAGAGAACCAATTTATCATACTTTATTTGCTAAGACTTTCTAAAGATAATTATTCAAAAGCTTTATTAATGATTTAGCCCACTATTCTTTTTTTCTTAATTTTAGGAAAAGGTAAATTATATGATTTAAACAGTAAATTATGTTGAGTGCCTTTTACAGTCTGACTAGCCCAAATATTCAAAAATATCCGAGTTGCTTCTATATTCTATCAGTCATTTACATGGGCACTTGGTTACTCACACCCTTAATGCTCTGTGAAAACACCGTGCTTCAAAGTTGAGGTAGTAAGTAGCTTCTAATTTCCCAACGGTCAAAATGACCTTTCTGGTCTGGTTGTATGGTGCAGACAGAGGGGAAGATCAAGGCAGAAGCCAGCCATATCTTCAGGGAGATTTTTGACATGACTGAGGGGAAAAGCCTCTCCTTTGAGTTGCCCTAACAGTCAGTTATGGGGAAGAGTTAGTTCTGATTGATAACACTAACAAATAGCAAGTAGAAAAAATAATTGTGTGACACTGTAGTGTGAGAAATCAAAGTTACAAATACTCAAGTGTTTCACAACTATGAATTATTTTGATATGTTACTAGTCACACTCGTTGCTTGTTTGATTTTTGCTACCAAAGACCTCCACTCATATTTCCAGTGGGGGACAAACCTGAATAAACTTCATGTTACCTGTGTAACCCCAAAGCCAATAATCAATATGAACCAAATTACATGTGTATGTATTATTCAAATTGACATGATAAAGACCATGTGTTTTCATAAGAGAGATCATCCCCTCCCCTCACTTTTTCCTTTCTCCCATCCCCACTTCCCATCATTTCTCTCTCTGTTTTCTCTCTGTTCTCCCTTTCTTCTCTTTCCCTTTTCCCTTTCTTTCTTTTGTTTCCTGTGACAGAGTTGCACTATGTAATCCAGACTGACTTCAGATTCTGTATAGTTCAGACTGGCCTGGATTTCACCATTTATCGGTTTCAACTTTTCTTTTCAGCCATCCCTCTTTAGAAGGTTTTCCTCATATTTAGATGAAATTTATTTTTTCTGTAACTGAAATTTCATGATATAAAGTGAGCCACTGTTCTAAAGGAATTATGGCTCATGTCCCTCCCTAAGCCGAAATGTTCCATATTTCTGTAGGTTTTCTTCATAGTTTGTGATTTGAAGGATGTAGCATCATTATTGACCTGGTTCTACTTTCTTGCTACACCTTTTCTTTCAAAACTGACTCCTTTGACTCCTGGGTACCAAAGTAGAACACACTCACTTGATCCTTTGATCTCGGCAACAAGTCTGTTAATGAATATTAATTACATTCTCAAATAGTTTTGGTTTTAGATGTTTTGGAATGCTTTTAAGTCATGAAAATAGCAAGGTATCTAGGAGAGTCAGTGCTGAAGCTAAGCCTTCATTTTATTTTGAAGAGATTTGGGCCAATGTTGGCCTCTAACTCCTGATCTCAAGCTATCTTTCTGCCTTAGCCTCTAGTCCTACCGCTGTTCTGTATCACACCCGGCTAAGCCTTCAACTTCCTGATTACTTAGGTTGGTTGTAAAAGTTCACACACATGCATACGTACACATGCAGGATATATAAAAAAAAAATGAGCAATGTCTTGCTTTTGTGCAATTACGTACATGTACCTAAACTCAGGGATGAATTTCATATGTTTCTTTTTACTGATAATTTGGGTTTGTTTGGCAGAGTATGTATATAATGTATTAATCTCAAATTATTTCCATTTAGACAGTTAAATCTTATAGAGCATGTTCTCATTAGAACATGTGAATGTCGACGTAAAGTCCTTTTCTAACTGATTACAACAGGGTCTCACTTTAGCAGTGACCTTATGGGTCAGACTGACCCAAAGGAAATAGTGTGATATAAGACTAAATAAAAGAGGATTCCAGGAAGAGGTTTGATCCTTTGGTGTTTTTAATCTTTTTTATAGAGTATAAATGTTTTCTCGAAGGATGGTATTTTCCTTGTTCATGTGTATAGCCCAAGTTGAGTTTACTGAAGAAAAATTACATGTATTAATTTTTGAAAAGCTGGGCATGGTGGCTCATGCCTGTAATACTAAGACTTGGGAGGCTGAGGCAGAATGATTGTCATGATTTTAAGGACAGCCTGAGTTACAGAGTGAAACATTCAAACCTTCCCCCACAAAATGAAAGAAAAAGATTTAGAGGGTTTATTTATTTCTTCCATAGTTTCACACCTCTTTGGCAACTTAGTAAGTTTTTGATAAGCCTGTGAAAGCCTACAGTATCAATAAGAGAAATGTTTATTAATAGTTTAAGCACCACTGAATGAGAATTTGGCCCAAATGTATGAAGACAGATTCCAGTAGTAACAGACAGTACTATCCTATCAGGATCAATGTTCTTCTAGGCCCTGCCTCAGTTTTGAGTTTGCTGGGCAGCACAGCGTTGGTTCTGATTGTTCCCATTTTCCAGAGAAAGGGACAGCCTCAACTTACACCAAAGGGAAATATTTTAGATAGCCAAATAAGGCGTCTCCTGTCCTATTCCAGTAAAATCTTAAATGAATCCATTTCACCTTAATGGTTTAAAATAAAAGGACTTTTGAATGATAAATAATATTTTACAAATGAGGATCTGCCATGAACTTTGCAATCTGTTCTCAGAGAAACTAAATCTACTTGGTTTATTTTTATCTAACTTATTTGAACAATCAAAATAATATATGCATCAAAGAAAGGGTTCTCAAAAGAAAATGTAGATCATTTAGGCTTTTAGTATCCATGGGCATCAGGAGATCATGGCATGACTCTTTTTGGTGCTTGGCAAGCTAGTTCCGCAGCGCAAGTGTTCCTGTCTCCTTAGGAATTTGGAGCACACCTCACTATTGCTGGCACTTGTTGAAATAGCACATAATTTGCTGAAGGGAAAATACAAAGTAATGTTAAACTTTTCCCACGACTCTGATCTAGGAGCTGCCTTGGATAGTCAAAGCACAATGATATTCTGAAAGAACTTTAGATATAGAAGGGCTTAAAAGTTTTGGTAGGTTTTAGAATCAAAACTTAGAGATATTTAACGAATCAAACGTTATATACTAAGCTGTGCAGAGAGCCTCTATAAAAGAAAACTGCAAACACTTTACATTTCACTTAAATCTACAATACAAGAGTGAGATCGGTGGTGGGGAGGAATGATTCACCTGCCTTTTCCTTACAGGTGAGCTTCTAGATAGACACTTTCTAGATGTAAGATTTGAACCTGAGGTCTTTGTCTAAATTAGGTTTTGTTTTGTAGGACTACAGTATTCTAATGCCAATGGCTATTTTATCACCCACATGCCATTTACCCCATACATCCATGTTGGGACTTTAATGGGCAGAAATCTCCTCTTCTACATGTCATTTCTGTTCTTCTTGTGTCTGTTGTTTACTAGATGAGCACATCTAAGTTAATTGTGTATGACAATTAGCTGTTCAAGTTTTCTGTCACATCCTGCCCCAAGTGTTAAGGATTAGGGACATTAAAAGGTCCTCTCCCTTTATATTTCTGTTCCATACTAACTTTTTCCCCATCCAACAGCCAATCTTTGTAATTGTTTGCCCTGCTGAATATCCACTACTTATGGAAAGAAAGTCTTGCTTTGTGGATTCCCTTGTAGTGGCTCCCCCGGCTGTGTCTTAGATAAGTGGCGCTTGCTTGGTTTGAGTACATTTTTACTTCTTCTCTGATGATAGTAACTGTTTCATCCTTTCTCTATAGGCTCTGCCACCTGGTGCACTTCAGCTGATACCAAAGAGGTCAGCCCTTGATAAGGCCAATGGTGCCACCCCAGTCTTTAATCCCAATGTTTTCCACTGCCAACAGGCTCTGGCTAACATGCAGATTCCGCAGCCGGCGGCAGCGGCGTTTATCCCAACAGGTGAGAACACAGCTCTGGGAGGCTTGAGTTTAGCAGTTTGAATCTGTACATTGCAAAGCAGCTTCTAAAGGACTTTTGTTGGAGGACACCATCGTGCATTTTGACTACAAGTAAAATAAAACGATTACATTTGATTTGCTGTTATCAAGAATAATGTATATGATTTCAGAAATGAATGGATTGAAATTAACATAGGAAAGGAGTTTTTATGTTTGATCGTTTTTTTTTTTTCTAAAGTTGATTCACTGGTTTTATCTCAACTAATTACTTGACTTGTAGTTATTATTTCACAGATAGCAATTATCTGTCAAAAGAATTTTCCAACATCAATACTGTAAAATTCTGTAGTCCATATAACTATAACAAGATCAGTAATTTTTTTAAATTCATAAATTTATAGTATATTTATAGTCTATGTAAAACAGGTAGTTTTAGCCTCTTAAGTCTTAGAAATTATTATTAAGTGAAAGTAAATATTTGGGGATGTATGTCTAATAGAGAACTTGTCTAATATGTGCAAAGCCCTGGACTTAACCCCCGGCACTATCAAAAAATTGTGGAAATTTTATTTGAAAAATGTAAAGTGAAGGTACCATTTGCTTTAAAAATCATTTTTATAAGACTTAAAAATTACATAAACATGTCCAGATATAGTGCTGTATATTCAGACATAGAAAATAATAAATTGATCAGCTAGCTAATAGATTAATTCTCTAAATACAGGCTTAGATCCTGGAGCATACCTTTAAAAGAATGTGTGTAGTAAACAAAAAAAACTACTTCATGGATAAATTATTTACAGTGCATTTGCCTAGAATAAATATATATTTTAAGTGATATGATTCATTTAAAGAAAAGATAAAGTTCTTTTTTAACCTGTGAGTTACTTTTATTCCTTGGGTCTGTGGTCATAAATCTAACCTGTAATTATAAGCATGGGTGATTACTGGTTTGCATGTGCTGATTAATTGATATTGCAAAAAATATCTTTCTAGTTAAAATTCACTTCTATCTGTAAGGCCTTAATAATGAAATCTCTCTTTTCTTTACTTTCCACGCTTTTCTGCATGGTGTACAGGGCCAATACTGTGCATGGCACCCGCTTCAACTTTTGGTAGGTTTTGTACAAAAATTCTCAACTTTCTCTAACCTAAAAACATTTTTCTACTGTAACTATGAAAACCTGAGTGACCAAATGATGTGAGTGGACATTTTCTGAGTATTTAGGGTTTAATATGGTATTTTTTGGAATCAAAATAAATATATTTCTCAAGCTCTAATAGGTTGCCACAGTAGCCAAATTTTAACCCTGCCATTTCCATTTCTATCCTAAAAAAAAGCAACTGAAATATTTTTAAATGTTTCTTTTTGTAGTGAAACTGGATGATTTTCTTGGCTTTGTATGTATTATTTTAAAAAAAATACATTTAAAATATACAACTTATAAACTACAATGAAACAATCCTCTCCCAAAGTTATCCTTATAGTGTAATGCATTCATTACACAGATGTTGAGAAAGGATGACTTAAGCAAAGCTAGAACATCCTGCCATGTTCTGTGATGGATTCTTACGTTTTGATTGTGAGCTTGGTGTTTAAAAGCTGAGCCATCTCTCCAGCCCCTGTGATGGGTGCTTTGGTGTTCAAATATGGAGCATCATCTGCCCAGAAATTACACAACAGAATCATTTCAAAAGTGATTTGGGGTGATGATGTGATTTTTAAACTACCAGTCACGTCCTCTCCGCCTTCTGGCTAAGATCAGGTGGAATAGCCAGTTACACACACTTCTTTCGTTAGCTACCACCACTATCTGATAGCCATCCCTAAGCCATTTTGTATTTCACTAATAGAAAAGAAGATAAGAAAGCCACTGGGTGGTCACAGTTCCTATAGTCTTCATGGGGACCAGGAACAGATCATGAGAAGTTAGTTTTGTTTCAAGTGAGGAAGAAGGAACACATCAGCTTTTCCTATCAACCCACTTCCTCTCATCTTAGAGAATCTGCAGCAGCTTGCCCTCCATTCCACTGGTAGACTACAGTGATTGCGGAGTTATTGAGATAAAAAGGGAAAGGTTAAAATGATGAACACATAGAAGCCACACAAATGCAGCACTATCTGAACCCTGGCAAAGGGATGAGGCCTGTTATTGAAGCCTTAGATGTCCCCATAGGAGTTAACATTGCGTTGATGATACTAACAGGAACATTCTGTGAATGTAAGTGGAAGAACATCTGCAACTTTGAGAAGTGTGTCTCTCTTTTCACACTTTGTGACTTGTTTCTTGGGGCTGCTTCCTTGGTCTTTCCCTTTCAAAGCTCTGCTTATGAATGCAATTGCATGCTTTGGCACTGCTGCTTCCTGCACAGTTGCTGTACTTCCAATGAGAGAAACATGAGTGTTTTTAGAATTAGCACGTGAGACAATGAAAGATGGCCGTGGGAAGTAAGTAACCAGAGATGGAGAAAAGGGACAGCTATGGAGTTTCTGTTTATCACTATTTGGGAAAGTCTTGCTTGCTTTGGCATTGATTGCATTTTCCTCCTGGCCATTCACTTTGTCAGTAGACTTTCAGAAAATCTGAATTTGACATGATAAATGAATAAATGTGTATGCTTCCCATTCACACATTGCCATTCACACATCAATTCCCTAGTTGGCTTTCCAAAATAAGCTGGAAATTAGAAAAGCATCCAAAAGCTTTGAGAATGAAATAGAAAGTAGCAAAGCAAAGAAAAAATATCCTGAAAGAGATTTTGCAGCTGCTAGCCATTGTAGCTCTAATATTTGCTGTGAAGACAAGATTTACTATGGAGCACTCGTGTATTTGACAATAGCTAAAATTTCCAAGGAACTTACCAAACTGAATACATAGTCCACTGTATTCTTCATACCTGCTCTTCTACCACATACTTATCAACAGAACCACCATCCTTTTTATATTCAGATCAGGTAAGTACACATCAAACTGCCATTTGTACCAGAAAAATCTAGTAATAGCACTTGTCAGTGAACCCAAACACCAGTTGACAATTCTGTAATTAATTTTGACTATGCAACCCAGTGACTTGTCTGCTTAACTAGCTTTAATAGGTAGCCCTGGTAACAGCAGATTTTTTTTCATATGCATTCATTACAACCCTTCCTGAAAATTCAGCATTTTGAATACACTACAATGTTATTTTGCTCAAATTGTTAAGAATGGCTCTGTTTTCCTTAATGATAACTATAATTGGCTTTCCCCTTTTCTCTTTTTAAATTTTCTTCCATTCCATGCTGTGCTGCTTTGCACTGACTTTGATTGCATGTTGTACCCTGGTGTATATCCATCATGATGATGTTACGTGGCTTGTTGCTGGGATATCTACTGTGCCCCATTCCATCGTATCTGTCATGGTTGTGTAAATGCTTCACCCTTCCATGTGTTGCTTCCATGATTTCCTACTGAAAGTGCCCATGATGCACGGTGCTACACCCTCCACTGTGTCTGCAGCAGCAACACCTGCCACCAGCGTTCCCTTCGTTCCAACAACTACAGGCAATCAGGTTTGGCCATTTATTTCATCTGTTCAGACCTAGATAACCACAATGTGTTGAAAAGGCACAGTATATGCCTTTTGGATTGGTGAAAGTGCTTAATCCATACGCTTATGCATTTCTTAACCAGTCATTAGATTTGGAACTTTTATTTTTATGTATAATTAGGGTATTGTATGTGATTTTTCTCTTTATCTCAGAGTAAATTGGCAGCATTTTACTCATTGTTAATTGGTGAGCAGATGTCATTCATGCTTTTCTATATCAAATTATTGCTACCACACCAATCCTCAAATGTATATGCTGTACTGAATATGTCTTAAAAGCTTTCTCATCCTGGTGAAGAGGATAATTTATTTTACTGCTCCCCTTGTTTTTGGTTATTGTGTTTGAACTTTGATTTAGTAAACATATCACCTTTAGTTCCACTGGAAAGAAAGCATGCTATCACATTTCTTTCCAAGGAATGCACATCTTTATTATCACCCAATGATTACATCAGAGATTCCTTCTCATGCAGACATTAGATGTGCTTGTGTTGTTTCCACTTTTCATTTGTTTTAGGTTTTTTCAGGCGGAGTCACAGGCAAATGGCCAATTTTTGGGATATCTTGAAGTTTCGAAGCAATTGGTACAGTAGTTACTGAGTACTGTGATCCCTGATCTGCCTTATCAAAATGCTCACTTGCCCCAAGGCTGCTGCTTAAATTTCAAGCATGATAGCTAAGACTCAAGGCATATCATTCATTTGCTGGATAAACCACACTCCACCCCATGCTCTCCAAAACTGACACGGTGTAAATATGCTTAAAGTTTTCTGTGAAATTGAGCATCATTTTAATGTAACAAACTCAGGCAGTGAACAAAATAAAAAGGATTCTCCTAAGAAATCATTTTAATCTAAAATCTTCTTTTTTTACTACTATAGATGCCCCAATTATCAATAGATGAGCTGAATAGGAGCATGTTTGTTTCACACATGTAGAAGTTACCAGTAGAACAGTAAGTTTAAGTATTAGTAGGTGGTATTTGTAGGTTGTGTCTTTTATTTACACAATTGTATTTGCTAAAGTTTGGGTAAACATTTTCACTTAAAGACATTGCTTATAACTTGAATTTGACTGTCAATTCCAAAGTTTCAAAACTGAAATGTGAGAGGGGTGATTCTTTTGATGTGGAGATGACAGCTGTTACTGTATTTTTCTAATGAGCTTAGACTCAATAATGTTTTTTTTCTATTTTCAAAGGGGCAAGAGTTTTTTGTTTTTTGTTTTTTTTGCCAAAAGCACAAATCACATTTGAATTTGAATTCTTTAAGCTTTCTTGTTTGTTTGTTTTGTTTTCAAGACAAAATTTCTCTGTAACCCTGACTGCTCTGGAATTCACTATGTAGACCATGACCTCAAACTCAGAAATCTGCCTGCCTCTGTCTCCCAAATACTGGGATCAAAGGCTCGCACTGCCATGCTGGGCTTAATTCTTTAAGATTCTTAAGCTTCATTTTTTGTTGAAGTAAAACAAAGTCAATTTGTCAGAATTTGGCTGATAGGATCATCTTAAAGACAGTGAGGGTTCCGTTTCTTTGTGAGTCAGTATAAAAAACTGTGCTCCTGCCGGGCGGTGGTGGCACACGCCTTTTAACCCAGCACTTGGGAGGCAGAGCCAGGAGGGATCTCTTTGAGTTTGAGGCCAGCCTGGTCTACAGAGTGAGATCCAGGACAGGACAGGCACCAAAACTACACAGAGAAACCCTGTCTCAAAAAAAGAAAAAAAAAAAGAAAAAGCTGTGCTCCTTCTGTATGTTGCAGTGTGTCAAGTGGAATTGTGCTAGCTGTTTTGAAGTTTGAATGACACATCAAATAATTGAGTAATCCAATAACTGTTTTCATTGTTTCCCCACCTTAACTTTGGACCTCTATGATGCCCGGTTGAGGGGCCATTAGTAGCACACACTTAGTTCAAGCAGTCATTTACATGAAACATGTCTGTTGAAGATACTTAAGAATCCTAGGTAGCTGAACTCTAGAGACCTAACAAGTGAATCTGCTCAGAATTGCACCTTTAGTGTGTCATTTGGTTGAAGGAGGTAGCTGATATGCCTGCCGCTGGCGTAGTTCCCCATCTCCCATTAACAGGTGCCATGGTTATTGTACACTAGATAAGCAAGTCCCGTCAGTCATAGGAATGTTTTTAAAAGGACATGGGAGGACTGGAGGAGATGAAAGTTAGAATAGTTTTCACAGGTGTTATTTAGCATAGTAGCAACTTGGGAAAGCCCTCGACGAGAGAGGGGAGGTTTGCCCACTGTTTGCTCAGATCTCACAGGCACATCAGGGGAAAGAAAATCCAAACAAACCTGATTTACATAAAATACGTTTGGAAGAATGACTTTTCTTCTACTTGATTCCTTTAAAAAATAAGACATTTGGCAGAATATAATAACTTTCACGTGTAACACATGTGAAGATTTTCTCCAAAGATCAAAAATGTTGTTTTGTATAATAGTATAGGACTTACTCGGGTTATTTCTGCAAGGGTATAAGATAGTCAGCTGAAAGTGCAAAGCTTTGTTTACTATTGGACCTTTTCAAAGTGTGTGATATTAAATACTTCTTGGGGGTACATATCTGTTGAATGAGATGAATTGATGGTTGGATGAGGAGCAACAAGTTTTGGCATTGTGAGCTAATGCCTTAAATATGGCCCATTATGGGACCCGTTCATAGACTATTCTAGCTGTGTGTCTGTCTCTTTAGTGATTGTTTGCATTAGCCCCACTGTCACAGACATAGGGTCTGAAGTTCAGAGTGGGGCATATCTTGGCTTAGTTCATTTGTAGAAGTGGAATAAGAACTAGTCTCCTGATGCCTTGTTCAATAACCCTTCACTCTTTCTTACTGACTCTCTTGTGTTGTTTTCTATTTCAGTTGAAATTCTGAGCAGCAGAGTTATGGAGTATCAGAACCTCTCAACAAGAAACTCCACATGGCCTTTCTATGTGTATTCTCGTATGTCCTCTTCTACCAACACAACAATAAGCATGGTGCAGTCAATATAGTAAAGCACATACACCAGTTGAAAAATTCAAATGTAAAAGAAAGCATTCAGAAATCTGTGGAGATGTTAAAGCAAATAGAAAATTGACCACCGTGTGTTACCTAATATGGATTATTAATTGTATATGAATTAGCATATAGAATACAACCATACAGCTTTGCCATTTATATGAATTATCAGATCCATATTACATAAATTATCCATCTGATATGGATTACCATATTGAATATAACCGTAAAATTTTGTGATTTTTTTTTCCCAACAATGATTTGTGTTAAATGAATTTCCACGGTGTACTGTAGGCTTACTGTACATTCTTGGTGGATAAATTGTTTTTGAAGTGTTACCTTACTGTTTTGTTTACAGGCTAGTCTATTGGATTGATGTAGAATGTAACTAATATACCCAATACCATTTCCCCCATTGATATGTTGTATTAAATTGGGTTCTGTTTAGCTTTTCAATGCTAGTGTTTTGTTGTTTATATGTGGTGTTTGATTTCAGTTAAATGTCATTAGTGGGGAACAGAGGTACATGTGATAGAAAAACATGACAGGTTCGTGTTAATATGCACTCTTCAAACCATCTCTATAAGTTTCTTGAGGCATACATTTAAAAGGCCTCACTTTTGAGTGTACACAAAATCTGTTCATAGAATTTCACATGTAGATCTGACCTTCCATAGTCAATAATATACTCGATTTTTAAAAGAGAAAAATAATTACCTACATATGGTAACAAAGTTCAAATGTTAACTTCAAATCATTCCTCTTAAATAACTTGAAAATCAAGTATTCACATTCCAATAAATTTCTGAGCATGTATAAAGTTATGTAGAGTAGCCGTTACATTTATTGTGTCACAGAAATCCTGTCTCTCAGCTTGAGTGTCTAAAATTGAGCCATTTGTCATCTTCAGTTGAGAAACTGGTACTTACTAGTTTAAAGGTATGCTAATCATAGGTTATAAATCAAGTAGAGAGATGAGGGCATGGAGAGAGTTTTTATGTACTGGCAGAAAGTGTGTAAAACCTTTGTATTGGAACCTTTTGCACAAGTGCCATTTTCCAAATGCAAATGCCTCGTGCTCTTCAGACTATTCTTTGAATAATAAGTAAGATGCAGTCTAGCAAAAGTGAATCCAGGTCAAAGAGAATTGTTTCCAAAAGAGGCCTTGCCTCCCCAAATGGACAATCTTTTCTGTTGATCACAGAAGGAGGCTGAGTACAGGTTTGGAGAAATGGCAGGGATGGGAGCAGAGAGACATTTAAAATGACTGATTATGCAAAAGAACTAGAAAAGGTTTTCACAATTGTCTTTCACTTCAGTTTAGCTGAGTTTCCAGTTTTCTACAAGCTGCAGTGAAGTCGCAAGCTTTGGCAAGTGTTTCCCTGCCCAAATGTCAATCAGAGTTTTGGGGGGTTTTTGTTTGTTTGGTTTTTGTCTCAGAACAAAACCTTTTTTTCTCATTTGAACTTATTTTCTTTTATGTGTGTTTCAAAATTATAGTCAGTTTTATCATCATTTGACTAATGTAGAATAACAATATTCCATGGAGGTGTGGTATGAATTCTTCTTACTAATACTTATGAAATAATCTCAAGTATCAAATAGTAATCCATCTATTTCTGTGACATATAGTGTACCTTTTCTACTTTACATAGTTATTAACATTACTATTATTATAATAGGGAGAAAAGATTTTCCAACAGCTGAAGTAGATTTAACATTTTCTACTCAATATGTATTCTCCCATTGGAAAGTATAAAATCAATTTTTTGTATGTATAAAGGTTGTTTTTCTTCATGAAAATTACAATCAAAGAGAAAACATTTGGGATACCTTAAGACAGGTACTTGGATTGATTTTCAGAACAGTGGAGTTGGCAAAGACTTTACTGCCTTTGCCATGGTTGATAAAACAGAGTCAAGCCATGTGACTTGCCTAAGGCTGCCTAGCCATTATGGGAAACAATTGTTCCTCCTTTTTACATCTTTCTCTGGAACATTTGAGACTCCGACTCAAAGCAGATCAGATTGGCTCAGAATACAAAAAAGCAAAATTACGTCTGTTGATTGGTATCCTGTTGATCTTAATTATCCAGGTGAATCCTGGTCACCAGTGATTTCTAAATAGTCTTGTTTGTGTGTTGGGCCTTTGCCCTTTGTTAACTATTGCCTGGTTAGACATTGAGAGTTGTGTGTCTTTTTACCTTTGGGCTCTTTGAACCACTTGATTTCTGTTTTCTAAAATCATAATTCCAGAAAGAATACACCTGAGCTAGTCTAGATGTAGTTCTTCATGGATATGGGAATGTTTTGTGCAAAATGAACTTTTTGTAGTTTGACATTTTGATGCAACATGCTATCTCGTTTAACTTCTTAAACTTTTGACAAAGACATAGATGGTGAACTTAGAGGAGAGCTGTTCTCGTGTTGCTCTAAGCACTGGAAGATACTAGCTAGCATTGACTTATTTTTAGGAAGAGATTCAGTGAGGAACATTCAGGGGAGTTGTCTTTTGGTGCAACATGTTTCTATGACATTTTAAAAGTTTAAGAAAGCAAGCTCAAAGCTCGAACATTTTGATGAAATTTAACCGAGTTTTGGGGGAAATGAAACTTTAAGTTGGCACTCTTTAGTTGTGCAATGACTAATGATCTTATTGAAGAAAATCACAAGTCATTTGACTATAAATTGAATTAACAAGACAAGTCACAACGAATCAGTGACTCTAAACCAAAATTTACTGAATCATTTGTAAATAAACTAAATTCTAATCAGTTGTGATTCTTACTTAGCATTTTGTAGTCTTTGTATTTTACAATGGCCTCTATTTTTATTTCTCTAAAATAATTGGTTTTGTCCATCTTCTCAGCCTTTTGCCAAAATTTGCAAGACCGCTGAAACTTGGATAAAACGTGTCAAATATAAACAATCTAAATGTGTCATTTAAGGACTTAGTAGTTTCAGTTTTTACAAAAAGCACTATGAGACCATAATATTTTAAATAGGGACTTAAAATTAAATTAAATGGATTCATAAAATTACTATTTAAATACAGTATTTACTTTTGAAATTGGAGCATGAATCCACACCCAGCTGTTGCTTTTGATCTCACTTTTCTAGATTAATTTTTATTTTGCATCTAGCCGTAAAAGCAATCTTTCTGTTCCATCCATCTTGCTCATCCATTTCTGAGCATGCTAAAGCACTTTTATCTTGCCGTAAGTGTTGTCCACTAATGGGAGCCCTGAACTCCCCTGGTCTCCAGGAAAAAGCCAGTACCTGCTCTCAGCTATCAGCAGGAAACAAACGAAATGAATGTTTTGGACTTGAATTAGCTTTGAACGGCATGACCAGTAAGACAGTGATGTGTGAAGAAGGAACAGCATCTACACTACATTGTAGGAAATGATGGAGGTAGCTGAGGCAGCTCATGTGCTACTTGGAATGCCAGTTGGTTCTTTTCCTCGTCTTTGAAGAGTGTTGCTGAGGATGCCCTTAGGTGAAACACAGCCCAAGGTGGCCGAGATCTGGCAGTCTGTGGGATGAGCTGTGCTATGCAGAATCATTAGTAACTGTACTTCTTTTTCCCCTTTAAAAAAAAAAGCTCTTCTTCATTTCACTTACACTGAAATGGAAATAAGTAGAATTTGGTGGGGGCTCCAATTCCCAATTTCGATTTGTAAAATTAATAAGATAGTGGCCTAATTTTACCAGTGCCTGACAGAGGTAGTAGAATAAAATAGGTTAAAGAATTAAACAATTTTTTTTTGCAAATTTAGCAGATAGTCTAATCAAACTGTAAATATAATTACAAATATAGGTTCTGAGTACCAAGTCACTAATTGGTGCCATGTTTTCATTTTTTATTGTTAGGTTTTTTTTTCATTTTTCTTTATTAAGAAATTTTCTACTCACTCCACATGCTATCCACAGACCCCCCTCCTCCCTCCCACCCACCCCCCAGCCCTCTTTCCCAATTATTGTTAGTTTTTAAGTTTTTTAATTGTACCACATTTTTATATCTAAGTAACTAATGAATTTAATTTTGAAGAAGAGTTAGAGAAAGTTTAAGTTTTTACTACATATAAGCAGACCATTTATTAGGTTCTAAACTGGCACTGTAGCATAACACAGTATAGATTGCAGTCCATAACTACACTCTACAATTTACAGTTTAAGAACAAATTTAGCTTTGTACACAAATAGTAGTTATCAGCTAAATATATTTAGTTGTTGCTTTGGCAACAAAACTACAACATGGCTACCTTTAGACATTTGTGCATGTAAAACTTTTATTGGTAAGCTATATGTGGGTCATGACAGTGTGAACATATAGAAGATACAGCTGAAAACTCGTGATGTTTTTGAAGCCCTGAGTCCCATGTGAAAGCTGGATTTGTGTCCTCCTGTAGCCTTTTGTCTAAAAAAGTTTTTAACACATGGATTCTAGAGTCAGGCTTTATAGTTTATAGAATTGGCTATGTTGCTAGGGTTCATACAGTATTTTGACACCAGAACAAGCATGACATATAATTACCTGACCTTTTTCATAACTTCATTCAAAATTACTATTCATGTAGTATCTGTAGCTATAAAAAAGAATCCTATTTTCTAGAATTATATACAAAAATGTGTGAGGATTAAAGCATAACTCAACATTTTGAAATTGACTCAATTTTGTGAACCCACACATAAAGATACTATAGAATGGCCCCCGAATAGTGTTAAGAAGCATATGCTGCAGTTACCTGACTGTCTCAGTTAGGGTGCGAATGTGTGAGACACACCTTTTTTGCACTTATGTACATAGTCCATGAAAGCAGTCCTTGGAGCTTTTTCAAATGAGAAGTCTGTGGTAGTAGCAGAGAGTTGGTGAGAATGGTTTCTGAGGCTTGCAGAAGGCAGTTGTCCTTTGCTCTGAGAAGGAACGAAGCATAGCGTTGCGGTGCTGTTGTGGACGCTGGCAAGTTTGCTGCAGTTCACCAGAAGCTCAGCCTGCTAACATCTGCCAGATCCCCCTTAACCGCAAGGAGCGAAAGTACAAAGCACTTCTTTTAGTAAGGCTACTAGCAAAGATTGTGTGCTTTGTGGATTAATTCCCACTGTAAACACACACACACACACACACACACACACACACACACACACACACACACATCACCACACACACAGCCATATATGCACCACATAATGGGTAAGGTTCCCAGCAGAGGCTTTCTTTTTTCAATTACAGAAAGCAGGAAAAAAATACAAGTTAATCTCAAAGCAAATAAAACAAGACTTCATCCTTCATAGTTAATACATACATCAATTAATATGGATTTAAGTGACAAATTGTTAATGTTTTAACTCAGCAGAAGAGAACCAACCAAAGCTTACATAACACGGAAATTGGAAGATAGTGCCAGTCTAACCCACTCTGTCAGTTTTCACTCCACACTTACAGATAGCCAAGGAACTTGATTGTTGCGCCCCCCTCCCCCGCCCTGCACGCAGGCACTGAGGCTTAGCAACAGGTGGAAGTCTGAAAGGTTAAGGGATGGATCACCACTGGCACTTAGAGTCTTTCCCATCTTGAGGCCGGTGTCGTTCACACTGGAGAAGGACACTGTCCTCGGCTGAGGGTAGTTCTTGTGAAATGCTGCTACCCATACTGCTAACTCTTGGAGATATAAAAAGAGTTGCAACTGTAGCTCAGTGGTAGAACACTTGCCTCGGTGAGTGAAGCCCTGGATTTCATCCCCAGCACTGCAAAAGTTAAAAAGGGAAAAATGAGAGAAAGATGGAAAACAAACCAAAGCCAGAAAGCAACCCAAGCCTTACATGTATTCCATAGCTCAGGGCCAGCTGGCTAGGAATTACTCTTCTTTTTCCCTCAGCTCCTGATCACTTAAGAGTCAGCCATACCAACCATCCTAACAATCTGAGCAGCCATTTTGGCCAATAAAAAATGTAAACATACATTTATTTTGTAGTTAGGAATGCCCACTTCGGCCTTATTACCCCCATTATTTCATTATGTCCTTATGGGGACATTCCCTTGTGAATCTTTAAGTCATAAAAGTATATTTTCCTAAGGATAATAGAGAGAGGAAATTTTGTGTGGTGCTGGCCTTGTGTGCTGTGCAAGTGCTCTAACAGTGCGTCTATCCAGGTATAAGAGTTTAAGTCCAGAACCATCAACCATAAATTAGTAGGGATGAGCCTTGGAGCATCACAAAAGATAGCCAATGAATTTATAATACGTGCATGCTCACAGCCACTTGGTCACATGCAGAAGCTTAAACATAGTGCCTGTGTTTAAAGCAGTAAGACAAAGTAGAGGATTAAGTATAATAAATGCACATGGCTAAAGCCAAAAGATGACATTAATTGGTATTAAGTTATGACTAATTCATAATTTATAGCCCCTTTACCTGCCCTTGCTTATAAGTGAATTATTCACTGACACTAAAAATCTGGATTATCCCAGAGAAATTTTATGTTTATATAGAACCCTTCCTCAATTATAGTGTACCTAAAAATGAAAAGTGCTTTTGTCTGAGATAAGTTGCCACTCTTTATACATACTACAAGAATCCTCCCTAGTATTCTTTTACATCATGTTACTTTTAAAAATACCTCTGTAGCAAGACCTAGAAGAATTAAGCGAGCTTTTTATCCCAAACACACAACCTTAAGACTGTCATAAAACTACATGGTTCCAAAGCTTTATTTCTGTATACAGATGCTATCTGTTAATGACAGAAACCAAATTGTTTTGTTGCTATGTCTTTTGTGTCTAGCAGTTGAGTGAATGATATGACCATCATTTCATTAGATTCTGGGAATAACTTTTCCAAAATAAGTTTCTTTTTATTTTTGTAGCTATTGCTTTAGTTATAAAATGAGCCATTTGCTCCCAAATTATAATAATTTAAATGAAGTGCATTTTTTAGAAGGTGAGGTCTCACTCACTATACTCTGTAAATGAGTCCAAATTCCATGGCCTTAAAGAATTTGATTCTTCCATGTCAGCCTTCGAGATGGCTTATTTTGTTTAACATGATGGCCTAGGTTACTCCCTTATATAATTTTAAAGGAATAGTTTATACCTCCATCTAACAATGATCTGGATTATAGAAAGTAGAAGAAGAGGCAGGTGGATCTCTGTGAGTTCGAGGCCAGCCTGGTCAACAGAGCAAGTTCCAGGACAGCCAGCTACACAGAGAGACCCTGTCTTGAAAAAAAAAAAAAGGAATGTTACAATAAAAAAATTCTTAGCCTCGTACAACAATTAAAAACTTAAGTAATGACCAAAATATTTTACAAATAAAAACTGTTCCCATATTATTTTGTCCCCAAATGCAGTAATTCATTCCCTCAACTGCAAATGTTTGGACTTTTTCAAGTTACAGTGTTGTATTCCCTGTTTGTGTTTAGAAGTATGCATTATATAGCTCAATTTAGTATGCTACTTTTTATGTTTATTTTTTATTCTTTTAATAAAGTTTGCAAATTCCTTTGTTATGTCTTCTTTTATGAATTTGTATTCACACAGACATTCAGCCAGAAGTTACTCATATTCTAGTATACCAAACTTGACATTAATAACTCTAATATAAAATTTAAGTTTGTGATTTGGCTCAGTGTAAAACATGTAGTAAATTTATTTCCAAATGCCTTAAGTATTTTGAAATAGGTAGATGATATATACATTTTCTTTATATTTTTCCCATAAGGTTGTAGTTAGTAACACAAAAAGTTACATTTTAGTAAAATAAAACAAAAAAATTAATATCGTGGTTTCTATGGTCCCTCAGAAACTTGAAACCATTGATGCCCAACTTGACAAAAATGAACTGAACAACACTGGTATGTCATACTAAAAGTAGAGGATAAAATGGGTAACTGGTACACAGAAACTTCTCATGTATTTTGGAATGTGCCTTAGAGTTTAATAGGAACTGGACAATAGGAACCATGTTATTTTTTGTTTTATTTTAATTGTTTCATTTAGTAATTCATGGCAGACATTCCCAGCTATTGTCAAAATGGAGACTTGGAGTTTCTGTTGGTCAGAAGTTGACTTGTAGGCAAAGCCAGATATCAACCAAGTTTGTCTTGGGAACTTTTCACTTTATTCCACAGCATCCTTTCATGCACCATCTTACTCATCCCTAATTGACTCTGGCCTTCTAGCAGTCCCATGGTAGCAACTTACCAGGCCTACCATCTTCAGGCACATCTGGAATCTTCCCTATCAGAACCTTACTGTTCCAGGTTTTAGAGACCTGTTCACATCTGAAAAATTATAATCTAAAGACTGGAGGTATTTAATGTACTGCCTCTCTTGGGGAAGTTTGTGCTTTAAAAGGCACAGCTCTCCAGTGGTTCAGTATCAGGCACCTACATGCATAGATAACGCATGTGTATTATTGAAGCAAACCTTGAGCATCCAGTCTCAGCATTTAGGAGAATTCAAATTTCTATAGATTAGTAGGTCGGTCTGTTGCCACCTCAAGAGAGCCAAAAGATATGAAAATGCTTGTATTTTTTATAATTGCATGCAAGCTTCTCAAATAATGATGAACCTAAAATGCTAACTAGATAGTGAAAACATGAAGATTCCCGAGTGCAGGACCTATTCACACAATCAGCATCTTAAGAGCACGCCCCACTGACTAGCCTCTTCTGGCATTGTATTCCATCGCAATCTAATGCCTATACTTGTTAAATTAATGTTCAACACACGAACATGCACACTGTCACTTTTTTAAAAAATGACTCGTTCTGTGCTGACTTCCTTTACCTGACTCTTGGAGATGGTCCCTTTTTTGTACCTAGCTCACACTTTTCCCATAGGCAGGAAGGTAGTGTGTATCTGAGGAATAAAGCCAAGAATACTTTAGATAGAAGGGTCAGCTACCAGGGCATGAAATAAGGTTTGTTAGAAGTCCATAAATTGGTTGTTATTCACAAAAGCAGGATTGTCAAGTAGATGCAGAAGTCAGTATTAAAAAGACATTCTGGCCAAAGTAGCCCAGGGTTTTGTATTGTGCATGGAAACAGCACAGGGCAGAGTGTTCAGTGCAAGGTACAGCAGAAACACATGAAAAAATGGTAAGATTGGATGTTTTCTTGTAAGTCATGTAAGGCAGGGCCTTCTTAGACATGTGCAATGAGAGTTTGGTGAAAACATAGCAGCATAGAAATAGCAGAAACACTACCTGTTAAGGCAGACGGCCTGTTGAACAATTAGACTCAGGGAACACAGAAGAAAGCTGAGGTGTGTTGTCTGCAACCTATTTGAAGAGACTTGTCACAGAAGATGCTGATCCACCCAGTGAGGATCAATGTAGTTCTTAAGCAGAGGGTGCTCAAGAATGAGATTGGGATGGAAATATTGCCTTTACCTTTCATGGCCTAAAAAGTTGAAAATTGTGGGTTAGAAAGCTTGGCAGTTAAAAGAGGCTGTAATTGTGTTAATTATACAAGTATATTGTAAGTAGTTATTGATGTACCTTTATTAACTCGTAAACGTGTGTGTGTGTGTGTGTGTGCGCGCACACGTGTGCGTGTGCGTGCGTGTGTGTGTGTGTGTGTGTGTGTGTGTGTGTGTGTGTGGTTCA